ACTTCCAAAGGGACAAGATAAAAACTTAAAAAATTATCATAATACTTTTTAAACACCTCAATATTTAACATGGAATAGGCTGCAATATGTATAAAACAATAAACAAGTTCTTTTACTAATAAAAAAATCTTTTAAGTTACGTTACAATTAGGAAAGATAAGACCACTCTCCTAACTTTATGATAATCCGTTGTTTTAAGAGCATTCAAGCCTCAATTAATTACATTTTAGATCCATCCTTCATTATTTATAAATTGAGAATTACCGACATTTTACAACTGAAGTTGGACACAAAATGTAATTGACTAAATGTTGTGTGTTATAAAAGTGCAATAGTTAACCTAATTTTGATCAGGTTATGTTTAAAAATCATTTTGTTGCTAAATTACTTTATTTTCCCTCTCTCCAAAAATGTATTTAGGCTACCATGTCAGTCACACATAACCTGATCATTAACCTAAAATTACAATATTAAAACAGTAAAGTAGGCCTACTACATCACATTATTTTCAGCTGTAATTATCAATAAAAATGCCACTACAATAGTTTTTATATCACTAATCGAGTTGAATATCAAAATATTGTAGTAGAATACATTGCTTTTGTTGGCTCCAGTCTGATCGGAAAATACCACCTTTTGTGTCGCTCCAATTAGACCGGAAATGGTGTGAAAATAATGTTCCTTTTGGCGCAATCTATTTTATTTGGCGCCTATTTCTTATAACAAAATTCCTGATTGGCGTAAACCAACCAATCAGGAGACGGCGTCATACTTTGGTAAGGATGCTGAAAACGTGAAAATGGCGGTCATTCTTTATAGAAAATTCCCAACAAATGATCTTTCTATATTTCTGAATTAAAACTCAAACTCGTCCCTCACATGAAACCAGTTGCTAAACCACTGCATTAGCCTTCGATCTATTATTATTTTCACAGTCATACAACAGTTTTACAGCTGAAACCAAACAAATAAAGTAGAATGACGACGTACCTTGACTCATGTGTAGGTTAGCCTATGATATTAATCAAAATTAAGCCTTGACACACGTTAAAAACCAAATATTTATCACTTTTTACACGCAACAAACAGCAGTGTGTAAGTTCAGTTTACACCAACGTTCTAACAACGTTATAAACAGAAAACAAACACTTGTCACTTCAAATTACTGTAATAAAATTGTCACAAGACATTCCTCTCTCAATATACAACAGATTAATTAAACACAAAGTCATAAAACATCTTATAAAACCCGATAACTTCTAGCTGCCAACAGTCTAATCTTTGCTACGCATTACGTAAAGAACCCCTGAAAAGTGCGCGAAACAGAGGGAAATTATCACAGACATTAAAATTAACATAGTTGACAAAGTTATTTGCATCGAGCAGACGGTGTTAACACTTTCACCACTATATTAAAACTGAATAAATGCGATAAAATGTTTAGCGATAAATTGAAACCAGGTGTTATCAGTGTAGGATAAAAGAGCACCTCCAGCCGTTCGATAAAAAGATTCTTTATCTTTTAACCTCTTTTATTTGTGACAGAGGAACCTCTCTCTTTAATCTGTGATTTATAAAAACATTAAACGTTGCCTGTGGACAGTTAACTTCATAGTAGGTGACCAACTTTCAATTTATTTTAAAGGGATAGAAATTTTGAAATTGAATACACCTACTAACAGATTTTTAATTATACCAACGACAGTTTCAGTTTATTATTTAAAACGTCTGGAAGTAGTAATGTTCTTGTAAATTATTGCAATGCCTGTGTAGCTAGAGGAAATTCCTGGTATTCTGGGAACGTGAAGTAGACCTATTTGCGAGTTTGATATATGAATAACAACACATGAAGTTAAAAGTTACTTGGATGAATATTAAAATACAATTTTCTGTTTGATTGAATTAATAGTAAAATAGTATTTCATTCCTCTGGATGAAAAAAGAAAATCTCTTACGGTGCCAAATGTTGATCTTAAATATTTATTATATTCAAGTAAATTAATTTGAAAGTGATTTAGTTTTGAAAATTATTGTGAGTCCAATAATTGAATTCAAGCTCTAAATTTTAGAGTAGGGCCTAGATAGTAACTTACAATATACAAATTTTTACAAAATTCTCGTTACGTATATTTTCATCTCTATCTAAACTATGGTAAAGGTCAAACAACAATCCAATAGAAATAATTAGGTGCTAGCTATTTCTTGAAAAGAATTCTAGCCGTATATTATTTACTAGTTATATTTGGTTGCTGTTTTTATTAATTGCCTTTTAAATGCTGGTTTTATATGAAAGAAGAATTATACAAGTTTCGGCAGTTGATTGTTTATGGTCTTCCGCTTTAATTTAATAAATATCAGGGTGAGATTATGTTTAGGATACTAGATTTGCAATGAAGAGAAATTTAAAATCAAGCTTTTTGAGAGTAGACATTGTACTTCTTAAATACTGGTTTATTTATTTTAATATACATTAATTTGGTGAAGATTTTCACCAATTTATTCAAAAAGATCGGTTCACTTAAATTAAAATATAAATCTCCCGCTCTTTTGTCAACGGTACTGTCATATCGACGTGGGAGGTTCCACAACTCCTAATTCCATAACATATAGTCCCGCTAAATCGAAATCACGTTATTAGGGCCCCGGTCGTGGGTATGAGGCAAAATCTGAAAACTGTCAATACGGGATGTTATTCTTATGAGATCATTAATTTGGCGGTGCTATGGTACACTATATCGCATATTTACGATCTACAATACTAAGAATTGATTCGTTGATAGCAATATTTCGTTAGAAAACTGCTTTTAAAAACATGTCAACCAACCACTTCCTCTTACACAGCAAAATCTTTAACTTACGAAAGTGTTAAATTAAAAAAAAAAAAAAAAATTATGACGCAAATTGCAAAATTAAATTATAAATTACTTGGTCTAGGTAATCCATTTTGTATTAGGACTTAACTCGAAGTCTTACAAATCTAGAAGAAAAGTATTTTTCTTGAGAGCCTAAAGAATGCTTTCTCTTTTACCGCAATAATATTGCTCAGACATCAGCAACAGGGCACCATTACATTACCTATCATTACATTTAAACATAGTTTAATTATTTCCCAAGAAACAATCTCTTGAATAATGAATTGATCTATTTTGGTAGGCCTTATGGTCTAATAAGTTGATGACAGTCATACACCAGCCAACAAAAGCACGGCCACCTTTAACTACAGGCCGCGGTCTGGTAGAATTGGCAACGTCGCAAGTGGTGTTGTCTAGCGCCAGACGTCCCATAAGATAACATGGCAGACAGGTGACACCAGCTCATTATTTCGCGTATTATTCATTAAAATTAAAATTTATGAACATAAATTTATTGAAAGATTAAAAATAAAACATATAGAATTGAAAAAAAAAATATTTAAATAGAAAATCTATTTATGTACTTTTAAAGAGGAGGCAATATTGTCATAGTCCAGTAACCAAGCTATCTTAAATACACAAATACCGTTAGCTGCTGCCAAATTAAACAGCTGTTACAACACCACTTGCGACGTTGCCAGTTCGATAGCCGCGGCCTGTAGTTAAAGGTGGCCGTGACAAAAGAGAGTATATTTAATCTATGATGATGGGCAGATAGAGACAAGAAAACTATGTCTTGAGGCTTCATGGAACAGAACAGGCTGAATCCTTTAGAAAAAAATGCAGTAATCAGCTGACCTGACACGACCTTCTAGTCGAAGGGGGAGGTGCAGATGTCGCGCATGCGCAAAAGCTGTCACTGTTGTTATTTTCAAAGTAGCAGTAGCAGTTTTGAGAACCTATTGCGTTACTTCCCGTTCCCGGTCACTACACCTTGTAACGTTGTAACCGTTAACGGAGTTGCCACGCATACTCACTCAGTTTAAGAGATATTTTGGTTTGTTTGTTTTGTTTCCTTTCACAACCTCGAACTTCGATTTAAAGTTTGCACTAACTTAGACCAAGGATGAGTTATGTTAACTTTGATTAATTTTTAAATATGGAATGTAAAACCTGTAATGAACTATTTTCTTCGGCGTATTCAATAAAAGACACCAAAGAAATGTGCACAGTGGTACTAACAAAAGACTTACCTCGTCCAAGTTGTTATGCCCCGAGAAAGAATGCAATCAACAATTTCTCTGGTGGTACAAAAACCTTAGAAATCATATTCTACAAACTCACAATATCAACATCTCACTTGAAGCTGAAGAGTTTGTTTTTCAAACTGACGAAGGTATGTAGATGTATCTCTTATAGGCCTACCGGTACTTCTAAGCCTAGATTAACTTGTATTTCCAGGACTTAGCACAGTGTTGGGACATCGAAACATCAGTAACGTCGATATTAGTATCGATCGCCCTTTAAACATCGATGTCAAAAGAATATCAAAGTCAAAATATCGATAGATATTGGAGAAAAACATCGAGATTTAGTAAAACAATAAAATGATGGTAAAAAAAAAATATCTGAGTTAATATACTAATTTATGGGCTACTAAAAAAAATATTGGAGTGAAATATTGATAGTAGCAATATCGGAGTAAAATCTCGATACTAAAAATAAATATGTATACTAAGCTAAAAAGGGTGTAAAAGTGTATACCAACATATCCTATAGTAATATAGGCATAAACGAAAATAATAATAAAATCCACCACTAAATGGTTTGCAATATAATTCTAGCCTAGCCCTAGAAAGAGACCTATGCTTCACGGCTTTAGTCACACAGTGCCAGTAGTGGTTTGGGGAACTTTACTTTTAACCCCTAACCCTGCAAAGTGCAAACAGCTATAACGGTTACACGGTGGCCGTGGAACGGAACCAAAAGTTTACTACTGCTAAACTGTGCAAATAACAGTGACAGCATAGCAGTGCTTGTGCGCATGCGCGACATCTGCACCTCCCCCTTCGACTAGAAGGTCGTGACCTGACATTTTCTGCTATTCTGCTATCTCTCCCGTAAGACCAAGACGGTGTCATTCTGTCAGATTTCCACTTAAATTGTCAATCGGTTTAATTTCTTTCTGTCCCTAGTTGCCCTGCTTTGCTTTTGCTTTTTTATTTCGGTGCAATCTTTTCAGGTTGCAAAGTGGTTTGGTTTGCTCTACTCACTCTGCAACTCTCTCCTCTCATGTGATTTCTTCAGTTTATCTGAAAATTGAGGTTATACCAAAAGGAGAATGTAATCAACATCAGGAACTGCAACTGCTCGGGTCACGAAAGTTGTGAGAAACATACTCTGAGTAAACAAACAGTGTTGTTTATTTATATTTACTTTGATAGCGATAAGCTTTATCATTTAAACTTGTTTCCTAACATAAACATCCGTAGCAATGATGAAATATCAAGATTTACATATGACAGGAAATAATTATGTATTTCTGGACATTTCAATTGATGACATAAAATGTAAGTGATAACCTATTACTAATAATAAATGCATGCAATGAATTAGTTTGTAAGTTATGGGTATTTTGTGTATCTTAATAGCATCAGGAAAGGGTACAGTCTCTTAACTGGGCTACGCTAATATCGATTGAAACTATCGATTCGATTAGTAAACCTTCATGCGATTTTTTCACCATCAGCAAGTTTGGTTGGTTAGGTTAGGTTATGATAGTTTAATTTTATAATAGATATATTTAAAAATATCGATTATTAATCAATATTTCCAATTCGATAGTTTCAATCGATATTAGCATAGCCCAGTTAAGAAACTGTACCCTCAGGAAAATCCTTAGGCCTATTTGTGGACCATAGTTAAAAGCAAATGCTAGTTTATACAGAACAGTTTGTGTGGTGCCGATATAAATTATTTTATAAAATTGTACATAGTAGGAAGTTAGCAAAAGAAATACTACTACACACAAAACTTTATTGGGTTTTGACTGATTTCCCTTAAAAGTGTCTCTTCTGGCTTGAACTTCAATTAAAAACGTGACTGGCGTAGTAAAATGATGAATTTATACCTAGATGTTAACTCACTTTTTAACCAGGTTATTAGGTCTGCTCAGTGATATTGTTGTGCAGCATAAAGGTTAAACCCCAAAAGTGTTTTATAACTTAGGCCTATAGGAGATAGATATTATTGTTCAACTTCACAAACATTCTAAAACATTAAGTTATCTTATTCATAAGTCATAAGTTCTTTATTCCAAAATAACAAAAAACACATTGTATTGGAAAAGTCATAAAAATAAACAATAGTAAAAACTGAAAAAAATTCTTATCAAGGTAGGCTAAATAATGTACAAAGACTAACATTTGATTCTTGTTTAATCTTTAGTCTAACAGGAATGACTGACTACATGTCAGCTGAGAAATCGCGGACGCTGTAGCAAGCCTTTTCAACTAATATGCTTTTCAGTTGTTTTCTGAATTTAAGTAAATCAGTCTCTAGCTTCAGCTGTTGGGGAAGTTGGTTAAACAGTTAAATGCCATTATACATAAGATGTTTTTTTAAAAAATGAGGTTGAATGGACAGGGATTTTCAGGTTGTGAGATGTGCGTAAGGAGTATGTACTGCAGTTAGTGCTGGTGTTAAATATTGACTGGTGTTTTTTTACAAAGGAAAGGGTTTCAAGGATGTATAGTGAGGGAAGAGTCAAAATAGCAGCTGACCTAAATGATTCCTTACAAGATCGTCTTTTGAAAAGTGAAAATATGACACGAATGGCTTTTTTTTGCATTTTAAAAAGGAAGGAGGTTCGTTTATTTTCAGATCCCCAAACAGGTAGAGCATAAACTAGATAAGGGAATATTAAGCCATAGTACACAGAAAGAAGAACTTCCGTCGAGTCTGTTGTGGCCAATGTTCGAAGTACAAAGATGCCTGTGCTTGCACGTTTTATTACGTAATCAACATGAGTTTTGAAATTTAAACATTCATCTAAATGAATGCCTAAGAATTTTACAGACTGTACGGGATGTATAATGGTTTCATCGAGAAGAAGAGACAGATTCGGATCTTTGTTGGACCTGTTTGAGATTCGAAAGTTGATTAGCTGGGTCTTCGCAGTGTTAGTTTTTAGAAGGTTATCATCAAACCACTGAAGCAAGGTATTCGCCTCGAGGAATGCCATTTGCTCGAGTGACTCTAGGGAAGGACTGGATAGTGTCAGGGAGGTATCATCTGCAAAAAGGCACAGTTTACCTTGAGCTACACATGAGGGGAGGTCATTTATGAAGAGCAGGAATAGCACAGGGCCAAGAACGGATCCCTGGGGCACACCTCTCGTTACAGGGGTTTCTGAAGACTTAAATCTGCTTTGATAACCGGTGTGATCTATGGATTGTATTTCAACACATTGTTTCCTGCCTTTTAAAAATGACGAAAACCACTCAGAAGCAATTCCTCGGACTCCCATATCATTCAATTTGGCTAGTAAGAGGTCATGGTCGACCATGTCGAAAGCCTTACTCAAATCGAAGAAAATACCCATTGCGTGTTTCTTTGTGTCTAGGCCCTGCACTACTTGGTTCAGTAAAGAAAATATTGCACTCGTGGTACTTTTACTTTTGACAAATCCATGCTGATCTTTAAAAATTATATTGTTCTTTTTGGCAAAAGCCCAAAGCCTCTCCAAAACAGCCTTTTCATATATCTTAGATAAACTTGAGAGCATAGATATGGGCCTATAATTGTCACATTTCGTGTGCTCTCCCCTTTTGTGGATTGGCCTTATAACAGCAAGTTTTAGCGCGTTGGGGAATCGTCCATGAAGAAATGAGTGATTTACAAGATTTGTTAGTGGACTCACAATGAAATCTGAAAATTCTCTTAGTATCATTGGGGGTATTTCATCAGCTCCTGAGCTTATCTTATTCTTTAATTGATTAATTATTTGTTTTATTTCTGGTTCTATTGTTGGGAATAGGAAAAATGAGTTATGTTTAATGTTTTGTCTAGAAGTGGTGTTGCATGTAGCTCTGTAATCGTAATGTTTTGTTACATCTGAAAAGAACGTATTAAATACTTCGGATACTAAGGAAGGGTCGTAAATAGTTTTTCCTCCCTCAACTTCAAGACAAACCTTATCCATCTTTCTATTCTTTGGGGCCTTATTATGATTAATCAAACTCCAAATCGCCTTTGATCTGTTATCTGCACTGTCAATTCTTTTAGATATAACAATGGATTTGGCGCTTCTTATCATTGTGCGATATTTTGATTTAAGATGGAGAAAATGGCGTCTCAAAGTATGAGAAGAATCAAGGTCCTTTGTTTCTTTGTACCAGAATAGCAGCTCGTCCTTCATTGCAAGTAGATCCTTACTTGCATGGAATTTAAAAACGTTTCTTTGCTTTGCACGGATGATTTTTTTGGGAAAAGCAATGTCAAACAAATACTTAAACTGATCATAGAACGCTTCAAATTTTTTGTCGACATCATCAGTCTCCATCATGTCCGTCCAAGTTTCTCGGCTTAGAAGGCATTTGAAAACCCCTTTGTTAGAGTCGTTAAATACTCTGGCGAATCGTGTTATTTTTGGGGGGCGGTCAGATGAGATATGTGATGGCATAATAACAGCCTGAGCGTGGTGATCAGACAAAGCCGAAACAATAACAGAGCTCTCGAATGATGAACAATCTGTAATTATATGATCTATTAAAGTTTTGGAGCCTAAAACTTCTCTAGTAAAATTTTTAACTATGTTTTTGAGGCCATAAGATGATAATAAAGCCAAATACTTAGTTGTTTGAAGAGTGTTGTCTGATAAGTCAATGTTAAAGTCCCCCATGAGTATAATATTTAAATGCTTTCCTTTTAAATCATCCAATAATTCAGACACTTTATCAATAAATATATCAACTTGGTTACATGGAGGACGGTAGACTGCTACTATTAAGTTTTTAACTGTAGGGCTGATTGAAAGCGATATGGCTGCTAACTCACAAACTCCCTCTATGCAGTATTTCGTACAGTCTAGAGGTTTGCACTTCAATAATGTTTTGCTCCATATACCAACTCCTCCATGCTTCATATGCATACGACAGAAAGATGATTTATATTCATAACCATCAATTTTTAGGTTTTCTATTTGCATAGTTTTTAAGTTGTGTTCAGTTAGACATAATACATCAGGGTTTTCTTCATTTAGAAATATTTCCAGCTCATCTTTTTTACATAACAAACCCCTTATGTTCTGATGAATGGCTTTAAGGGACGGTGCACCCTGGCCTACAGTATACCTTTGAGGAACTGCCTCCAAGGAACACCCGTTGGCTTCTGTGCTTCCCCTAAAAAATGACTGTTATGTATGGTACGGGTGAAAGGTTTTCTTTTGTGGGTAATAGGAATTGGAGTAGGTTTTGTGCTGAAAGTAGATTTATATTTTGCATGTGATGTGGAGTTTTAATTCAACGTATAAAAGGTTAAAAGTTTATATTCAAAACGTTTAAAAGGTAGCTACATCAAGTATTGTGTATAACTTAAACTTCAGCATGAAATTTAAAAAAAGCTTTGCTGCTATAGATTCAAAGTCGTTTAGTTTTTACATTTAACTTTATGCAACTAATATTGCTACATTGTATTGCCAGAACGTTTGCAGCATTCAGGTTGATTGCAATTTTTAAACATACTGGTAGCAGCAAATTGTATTTTCCTGACAGGATGGCTAATTAACTTACTATTGTATGTACAATTGATTCTAAAGTTTTGTTAAGAATGTAATAATGAAAGGATTAGAACTTTATCTTCTTAAGCGTTAGATGCTATTGCCATCGTCAAGAAGAATGTGGTCTGACTAGGTGGCCAAAACCATTGGTTTCTACTGTGTGGGTTAATATCACAGTTGCCTAATTTTAAGCTGTACTGTTTTGGTTATGGTTAACTACTTTGATAACAAAGTACGTTTACATCTTAAATTTATAAACATGCATTACGTTTTGCAGGTGGGAGGGTTGTGATAGAGCTGTTTAAAGACCATGTTCCAAAAACGGCTGAGAATTTCCGAGCTCTTTGCACCGGAGAGAGAGGCGTTGGGGGATTGAAACTTCCACTCCATTATAAAAATTCTATATTTCACAAAGGTAAGTTAAATTTCTTTAAACTTCTTAGTTTGTATCCTCAATGTAGAATTTTTGTTTTCATCATAACTTTTAGTATTTATTAGTATTAGTATTTTTCTCTTCCTACAACCAAAACTTCCTGACTGAATTGGCACGTTTGGTGAGTACCTGTATAAATTTAAATATTATAGTATTTAATATATATATGTATGTATTGGGGTAGCGAGCTGGTTTAGTGGTTAGAGTGTGAGGTTCCAGATTCAAATCAATCCCACCAAATCACCAATGGATTATATCTAAGTGATAATGCTGCAACCCCTAGGTCTAGCCTGAAGTAATGTGAAAAACAATTCCAGGCTCGTGTCTAACATCTTAGGACAAAAAAAATACTTAGGTACTTTGGTATTATACGGAGGCCACTGTTATAAAGCACGCTGTGGTGGTTATGTTATGTTGGGTCATCATAAATAGAAAGTATGACTCATATGGTATTGTTCGATTCTTAACGAAACGAGGAAAGTCCTACAAACATATTTGATAACCCAAACTAACATAACTGCCGCAGCGCGCTGTAAATTAAGTGGCCTCTGTATAATACCAAAGTACCATATTATAATATCCGCACTATATTACGAACATAAGCCTAATACATTGAATTAATGTATTTTCCAAAATATATTTTATACTGTACTTATACAATATTTTACAATAATATAGATTTCGAGCAGTCATCATCAGTCCCAATAGAAGAGTATTTTTACCAACTTCTTCTATACTTAGGCCTACTCTCTTATAAACATTTTAGTGTGAGTGTAGGCCCTAAATGGATAAAGTAGTGATGGTAGAAATATATTATTATACCTGTATCTGTACAAAAAAAAAAACTAGAAGCAACTGGTAAGTCAATTTCCATTAACAGCTGTTCCTGAGTGCATCGTTCAAGGCGGAGACATCACAAACTTTGATGGAACCGGAGGCGAGAGTATCTACGGTCCATATTTTGAAGACGAAAGCTTGGAACTGTTGGTAAGCTTTCATCTTTTTCTTCTCTACATTTTAACCTCCAGCTTACAAGTATTTAGGCATAACAGTTAATCTGATAATCCTTATTATTTTATTATTAGGGAGCAAGCTGGTCTACAGTAGTCTTCCATTTTCTTAAATAAATGTCTATTCTCCTAATCAGTCTGATACTACTTTGTTATATTTTCCTTATCTTTCAGTTCATTGTACAGCTATGTTTCATTTAGGCCAAGAACAACCTTATTCACCAAAGTTCATTTGGCATATTGAGCGACAATTAAATCACAATCAGATAAAAAACTGTATGTTTGACATTGGTCCTGTGGAGATAAGGATGTTTCGGATTGCAACCAAATACCCTCCATTTTTTACAAGAGGTCTTACTTGTAAGATAATTTTTATTCCTCTAATGCAGTTTTTGTGTGTTTTCGCAGCACTCGGAAGCCGGTCTACTCAGTATGGCCAACTGCGGAATGCCAAACACTAACAACTCTCAGTTTTGTGTGACGCTGGGAGAGTTGCCGTACCTGGATAGTAACTACGTCGTGTTCGGCCGAATCGTCAAGGGGTTCGGCATCATCAATGATATCTCGTACCAACAACTCGGTGCTGACGACAGACCTGTTCCCGTGAGTGAAACTCTTCCGTTGTACGTTGTACGTGTTAAGTAGAGCCTAACAATTTGAGGGATTATCGCAGATATTTTTCTACACAATTGAAAATAATTGTTCAATGATGTTTCAGGATTTAAAATTTGATTCTGTCGTCCGTCGTACTTAACACAGAAGGAGATTAGTAGGCTATAGACAAACTTAGCCAAAGTTGGAAAATTACAAAAAAACCACATAGATTCAGTAAAACCAATCCTTGTATTATCGTTTTATTTTAAAGAAAAAATATATTCACAAGTCTTTGTTTGTGGCAATCATAAGTTAATATTAATTGAGGAGCTATTCCTTAATCACCAATCCAGTGACACATACTTTGGTACATAGCCTACTGTATTTTAAGTTGAATAGGCTATGAATGAAGGGTGAGTGTAGAATGGAGTGTGACGATCTGTTTAGGTTTCTTATTGACTAAGCAGAAAGCAGCTAAGTCTGCAAGAACAGCTGGTACAGTTTGGAACCATCAAAACGCTTCTGACTTTTCTCACAATCAAACAAGCAAAATTTTCATTGCTTTGTTTTTTACAGATATTTACTTTCCAAAAGTCTATTCACGGCACCCATTCAATTATAAAAACCTTATAGGCCTAACCATTAATAAACTGTAAATTTTACAGTTAAACCTTTAACACATTTTATGATCTAAACTGATTCTCAATTCCTGACAACTTTTAATACAATAATCGATTCTTGAATTCTGAATTTACATATCAGCACATTTATTGTCTATGTAGACATGCAAGATATGGGACTGCGGAGAGCTCGCGCCAGGCGAGGACTGGTGTTATTGCGCCAGTGACTTTACAGATGTTTACCCTCCGATCCCGTCAGATTGGGAAGTTGACCATTCTGCACTTCAGGTAAGTTGCACCAGGTCAAACTAAGATTGCGTATTTATATCTGACAGGTGAAAATTGTTCTCACAGTTATATACTAGATGAGTTCTGAAAACCCTTTTAAATGTACGAAGAACATCCACTTACCCTGTGTTTTTTTTTTTTTATTGTCTTTTCAAGTATTTTTATCTTACCATTTTTTTCATAGGTCCAAGACATACTGCTAGTGATGAAAAACATTAAAGACGCGGGTAACCAGTTCTTCAAGATTGGAGACTACACTTACGCTCATCAAAAGTACAAAAAGGCTCTGAAATATCTGCAGTGGTAAGTTAGCTAATTTATAAGCAGGAGATTTTTTACAAACGTAAAGTCTTATTGATTTATAATAGTTACATAATGACTGGGATGGCTCTATTTCGTTGCCTTCATTATGTGAAGTGATGGCTCGGTCGGTAGTGCCACGGTCTTTTTCAAAGCAGCAAAGTTTTGGGTTTGGATTTGGCACCTGCCACTATTTTTTGTTTGTACACTTCACCCTTGTACTGTACCTGCTCACCCCTTGCTTTGTCGGATACTTTCCATGGACAAGCCCGAGGACTATGTGGACGTAGACATAAGCAAATGCAAAGTTAAATACCCCCGCCGCAGCAAACCTGCCGAATAAGCGAATTTCCATTTCTCTGAATGATTTTCAATTGAATCTATTTAGGTTTAACGAGTAGGCTACCTAGGTTTGCTGCCACAAGGAAACTAAAACTAATGAAGTGTGTTTTAGTAAAATATTAATAGCTTAGTATAAAATAAATAAATTTTCCCAGTTTTATCAAAATATATCCATAAACAAACAAACTACAACATTTTCAATATTCTCCATAAGAATAACATGGGAATTTTTAATTTACAATTTTTTGAATTTTCTCCGTTACCAATAACCATACAAAAACACTTTGATATACTAAATTATTTGTTTTTTTAAGCTCTTTAATATGGTCTAGAGATAAATTGGGAAATTTTGTGTTTTGGGGGTCAAAAATGAGAAAAACCAATTTTTACCCCATAAAACCCACCGGGAAACCCCGTTCCCATGGTCCGATCATGCTGATTCGCGAACTCATTCAAGTTTATGTCGCCTTATACCTTTAAACCAAATTTCATCAAAATCGGACAAAAATTACTCAAGTTATTGCGTTCACGGACATATATATATATAAATCTATATATATATACATATATAAAAATTTGAACTAATGGTGTTTTTGGCCTCTGGGGACATCAAAATGAAAAAGTAAATCGGTCCCGGGCCTAGGTTTTACCATGCCACCTACGGTAATAGCTACTTCCCTATAGGGAAATTCGCTAAAAAGCCGCCCTTTTGAGGTTGTTTAAAAAAATCTAGGAAAGTTATACCAAATATTTATTACCTTTAAGGACTGCTCAACTAACACGGAAAATACAAAAGGCCTATTAATCTAAATTTGCTGATAAAACTGGTGTGTACTATTGACTTAAGGATACTTCAGGAGATCATCTAAATCGACCAGCTGTCATCAGTTTTTTACTAAAAAAGAGTTACAGAATGTGCTACAGTCTAAATTATATTTTCTGCCTAGGTTCTTGTTACCGATATAGTTTAACTATGAAAAGTGCTATAGCTTCCAATAAGTTGTCGTCAGTTTGACTTGTTTAAAACGCTGGCGTTGGATATCAATCATTGATTTCAGCATAATTCTTCAGTAGCTCAATTAACTACGTCCATTTTGATTAAACTGGTGACGAATTTAACATGTGGATGTCTAGTGCTGTCAATAGTCTATACCTAGATTTACCAGTGTTAAATATTTTAATTAATGCCACTGCCTCCTTAGGTTTGAATCGATGGACCACAACAAGAACTTGCCAGAGGACCAGGCGGAGGCCGTGTGGGAAGCGATGGTTCAGTGTCGTCTCAACGCCGCGTTGGCTTGCAATAAGCTCACTCTCTACAAGGAAGCTGTCTATCACTGCAACATGGTAGGCTCACAACTCACTCTGTGCTAGAGGTAGCGAGGTAGATGTTGGCAACGTGGCAGTGTCGCTAGCGCTCCCTCCTGGCAGGGAAATATCGTACAAAATCGGTTAAAGACCAGGCAGCCAGCGCCAACAACAATCAACAAACACGTTGATATAAACAAAGTTTGCAGCAGTGACGATTTTAGTATTAACAACTGCATAAAAATTATAACAAATAAAATTTTGAAATTAGAGAATTGCTTTCAAAATAATCCTATGAGTAAGCCATGAATTTAGAACGATTAGTCAAGTAGTGTTTTTACAATTAATTTGGAAAGCAGTGTTAGTGAGGTACTTAAAAACCTGTACTTGTTAAGGTCTTTCGCTTATATTAATTTCTCTTCTTAACAGAAAAAAAAATGATTGCTAACATGTAAAAAGTATTGAAACTAACTTCAATTTATTTTTTATATGTTGAATATTACGAGAATCTACAAATAATCACTAACCAGAAAACTAAAAAAAAGTTATTTTTAACAAAAACCTGAATGTATGTTGTTTAATCAAATTCAACTTTAACACTAACAAATCATCTGTTAATAAACAATAATAAATATTAAACTCAGACTGTTGGAAACATGATTAGAGATATTACTAAATCTCATTAACTCAAGAGCTTAAAGTTTTTTCCTTGACATTAGCTTCATACTAATGCTAGTAATAATTTCCTAACGCAAGTTTGAAAAAGGCATTTTAAAATAGTGGGGTTTCGTATGGTAAAACCATAGATAAAACATACTCCCTTAGTAGATTTGTCATCATTATGGAACAGTTGAAGCCAATTTTATTGTTAGTTCTGTGCGTCCAACTGTAGAGGTTGTGTTTTGTTTACAATTTGTTTCTGTTTATTTCAGTAATTTAAAACCTCATTAAACCAAATAAAACTATATAATCATAAACAAAAACTGTTCTCCTAGTTATATAGCCAAATAATAAAGCACAAATCATAAAAATAACCCTAAAATAATAGAAACATAATTTCGTCCACCCCAGTGATCAGTGTGGACATACATGAACTAGACACGAAAAACAAGCCTCAAAATTTACAATGGGATGAGGAGTCTACTTGTGTTGCTATGGTAAGACTCTGCTGTATTAGACAACATTAACAATATTTTAACCCAACCTTGTCCTATTTATGTATATTTATATTTGAAAACAAATACCGTGCTTCTAGTTTACAAATCTGTACAATAATTTTATAAATAAAATATTGACAAAAGGTCGTCGTCTGCAGGTGAGGATCCAATGATGCTGGCGACATTTCCTTTTTGTATGGCCATGGCAATTCGTTGAACTAGGTAGCTCCTCGCTTTAGTTAGAGTCACCTGTTTTTTCAATGAGCTTTTTCAGCCTATTTCATTTACCCAGTTCTTGCCTTCTTTGCACCATGGCCCAGCAGTTTCCACACCCAGGACGATTAACTTATATCCTTTTGACTTAATGTCTGAGTATTTTGTATGTTTTCTCTGGGTGGCCATTTCAGCTGTTGATTATAGTCGTCACTGATCCGCGATTCACGATTAATAGTGATATCACGGACGATTCCGGTGGTGAATTAAATTCAGAAATGACAAAATGCTAGATAAATTTTAACAGAAGAAAAATGAGCTTGTGTTCAATGCAAAACAAAACAACAAACTAAACTTTATTTACATTCCAAACAATTCAACATATGGCTATATATTTAAATACCAAGGCAAAACAGTCTTTTAAAAATAAATAAAAACCAGTCCTTCAGCAAAGGTTAATTTAATTAACCCAACCTTGTCCTTGTGTTTTACGTTTGCTTGTTAGATTCCAGACATTGAGACTAACGTGAAGGCGTTGTTTCGCCGCGCCGTCGCCAAGGAGGGTCTGAACGACCATCAGGACGCACTAGCAGACCTTCATATGGCCCTTGGACTAACTCCTAATGACGGAGCGATCCTTGCGGAAATCAGCCGAATACAACGCTTCCTCAGTGACTACGAGCAGTCAGAGCGACTCAGGTGTGCTCGTATGTTCAGAACGTGAATGCCTTCCGCTGCCACGAGGCGCTGTCTGTGATATACGGTAGATGTAAGGTTGGAGCACATTAAGTATCTTGGGAAAAGCCGAGTTTATTGTTGAGGGTATTTTCCATTTCATTAGAAATGAAGACAGGATTCACTTGTTTTGGACCTTTTCCGTTAATTCACTGCTACTACATCCAACCTAACCTGACCGCTACCTCAGGTAGCTGCTATCCCCCTTTATTCTGAAATTCACTAGCATAACCTAAAATAACCATAATTTAAAACAAGATTTGTTCATAATTATAACCTGAAAAAACTTATTGTTGAATAAACGGAAAATGTTCCATGTTTTCACTTTAATTTTTAAAAGCTCAGTTGTCGTGAAATTTTTTTTAGATGAAAATTTGTTTCAAATATATTACAATATATTTTTTTCCAAATTATTTGACAAGGGACATTGAATCCGTTTATTGGTGACCCTACAAATGTGCATAAAAATATAACAACTATTTGTACCATGAGATAAATTTTGATATTTCCACTGGTTGGAGTCCTGAGTTGAAATTTTATCCTTTGAGTGAATTTCTGTGCGAGAAATTACTTTCAGTTATATTGCCCTCATGAAAAAAGCTAGCAGCTTTTTATTAAGCTTACTATTGTCAACACTAAAATTGTTTTAACCAATTGTACAATGAAAATTGCTGTGAGATAGCTTAAATTGACGAAAGCATTCTTAGAAGTGAAGATTGTTGACTTGATTCCAAGGTTTTTATAACGTGTTTCAACCTGCGTGTGCCCTCGGCCAATCCATATGTAAATGCTCACTAATGTTATACGTAATTAGCATTATTAACACAAAAATGTTCACCTAAAGATAAGCTAGGTGTAAGTATTATGCGTGTTGTATGTTTTATAGATTTATGTAAAAGCTTTTATTGACTCTGTACAGTAAACAAGTAGCTACAAATTTGTTTCTGATAAAATGTTTAGTGGGGACAGCAGGTTAACGAATTGGAAAGAGTCCAAACTGGCACAAGAAACCTAAAAATTTACACTATAGGGCTACACAAAACATTAGAATATTTCACTGTCACTGACAGCATTTTCGACTAAGCAAGAAAGGCCAGGAAGTTTTTCAAACAGTCTGTTTCATATAATATTACATTTTTCTTAAGGAGTAAAATTGTTGAGATTAAAATAATGATTAAGTGAAATACTAGATAACCCTTAAATAAATGTTCAACTACTTGAAACTGTGGCCTAAATGTGTATTCTGTTTTGACATTCCATTAATTTATTTTAATCTTCATGCAAATTGAATTTGTTACTTTGTTTTTTGTTTCATAATTTAATTGAAAGTTTAGGCAGTTGACTATACATTTATTACCTATTTAAAGTACAATGTACAGTGTATTGAATTTGTATATACAAATAATTTATGGAGTTTTCGTAATTTTTTATTATTTATTCTGTATATTTTTTACTAGTTATTTCCCCTAAACACTTAAACCTTTTTAAGCAAAGATTTGCAGCAAAATATCTGAATGTTATTCAAAATATATTCTACAGTATAAGTTAACAAACAATTAATATTTTATAATGATTTAACCTTAATAAAAAATAAGTAGATCAATTACTGCTCTATTTTCAGAAAAATATTCAAATGCTACAATTCTTGAGAATTAGTATTTGTATGGTAAGTTCCCTTAACTTAGAATGGTGTTAAATCATTGTTTAGGAAAGGCAGGAAGGAATATAATATGTAGCTGTTCACTCTCAGATAAGGGAAATATATAATAAACTTTATATTGACTGAATTAGGTATAGGCCTACCACAAAAAAAAAAATCCCTTATTTAATTTTTTATTCTCAACCCCTTTTTTCCTGTAGAGAATAGGCGATTGTAAGAACCTATTTTATCAATGATCTGATCAAATTATGTGTAGAATTAAAGCTAATTTGTAAGCTAATTAGGCTAATGTAAGCTAATTAAAGCTAATTAAGTGTAAGACCACTGTGTGATAAAAATTTAGAAATAGCTTTGATTATATTTTTGTACTTTAATATGCTAAACAATTACTGAAATAAGATTATTGGGTGGAGATAATACTAGTAAATTAATTTAGAACTAGTTAAAGTTTATTCTAGCTAATTTGTTACATTGTGAATACAGTAGACTCATTATACCGTACAAGAGGTTAAGTTACCTTTTTTTCTGTCTAAGAAATTCTAAAGTTCTCTGTCTGGCGACCGGTGTCGACTTCCGAGGCGTCATTATTAAGCTGGACGTAAAATTTATCACTCAGAGTATGTCATTAGTCTTAAAAACATGTAAGACATAAACACGAACACAAACAATTTTTTGATTGAAAATCATATACAGTATGGTTGGCGGAAAACGAAGGCAGTGAGAATTTACGCGTGGATGAATATGATGAAGTTTTGTCACTGTACAATTTGCATTACATTACTTCTTAGTGATCTAACCCATGTTGTTGGGGTGTGAGCTTTAGTGGTAGAGTGCAGGACTTCGGTCTCCGAGGTTTCGGGTTTGATCGCTAATAGATTTAATCAAGTTATAATACTGTGACCCTCTAGATTTAGCCTGAAGTAATGTGAAAACTGTTGAGACTAGCGTCCTAGGATCGGCACAGCACGGCAGAAACAGTCATGTGCCACAGCCACGTTGTTGAAAGCTATATACTTCACATTTTTTCAAGGGAACATTTCAAACCCTGAACATATTGCGCACATTGACGTTTTCTAATGACCAACGCTTATTGTGAACCATTACAAATTAGTACGGATTTTTTGAGTCTACTGTAAACACAATACAAATAGACGTGTTTTAAGAAAAATGTATATAAACATCTTTACAACAAAGATAATTTGTAATAGAGGTAAAAAAGACTGTGAATTAGTTTAATATCGAGTTATGTAGGAAAAATATACTTTTAAAAATAAGTGATTAGTGAAATATGAAATATTAAGAAGATTGAATGAATTAGAGCCATGTTCTGTTAACTAGCAAATTGTTCGGTTACAAGTAGATGGGTCCAGGTTTTATAATAGTGCATGGTTTTTGTTAAGTTGAATTAAATACAAAAGCATGGTCTATCCATATTTCCCTAAGAATCGGTCCGTTATGTCTAAACATAAAACACCTTGTATAAAACATTAGTATGTCCTTAAACCATAGGTAGATACGTACTCCATTTAAGATTTAAAAAATTTCATTTCTCATAACTAAAAAATTTAACCAAATTAATTTATCTTTTTTACTAAGTGTATAGGTATAGTTTTTATTTAGTAATTTAACTGTTACTAACTGCTCTATAATGTGTAATATTTGTATCCGATATGTTACTAATTGACGGTGTTGTTATTTATGAGAAATATATCTGTTATCGGTGGTAGAGTTTATGTTTATGTTTGTTCGTGTTGATGCTCAAAAAACATTGTAACTCTCATGTATTAGTGTTTAGTATAAGATATGTTTTGTGATTGTTATGTATATATTTGACAATTGGTTTGAATAAATCTGTTTCGCTTTTACAATCTTGTCGATGATTTATAAACAAATTTATGACAAATACGAGACTAAAAAATTGTATTGAATTAGTTATTTGACTCATCAACTTTGTATAAGACCTCTGTAAAATGTATTTTTAGCGAATTTCCCATATAGGGAATAAGCTATGACCCTAGGTCTCATGGTAAGACCTAGGCCTGGCGCAGATTTAGTTTCTCGTTTTTACGTCGCCAGACACCAAAAACACTATCCGTTTTTATATTTCACCAAAACTGAAAATTACTTTCCACTACCGTTTTCCCTGGAGTGTTTTTTTGGCAAATTACAACCATTCTCGAGTATTACACAATTTATTTCACTATTAACAAAAGTAAATCTTAAGCGGTACAATAATGAAACACATGATTAAGAACACATTAGTATTAAAAACTATGGCAGTACATTGCTCGGGTTTGGTTACAAAAAATATTCAAGCTAGAACGTAAACACCCTAAATATCTTATCATATGTTTACTTAACTTTACTCCTATTGAAAGAAATATGCGGCACTGTGACATTAAATACAAAACCAAAACGTGTGCTTTAATGATCAGTTGAGCAAGCATTGTACATAGTGAAGAGTAAAAAAATTGTTTAAGTTGATTAAAATGAAACTGAATCACAGTCAAGATAATGCAACCGTCACAAAACATGGTTAGGTTAGGATCCAAGAACTGGTAAAATTCTAATGTTAATGCTTTTGTAAATAACTTTTTCAAAACTAAAACTCGTTTTTATTGTACACTTATAAACCAAATGAATGTTAACATTTTTGTTAATTTGTACATAAATCACTGATGGATAAGGCAGTGCTCTTTGGTCAGCTAAATTCTAAAAAATTGCTTATATGTTTGAAAAAGATAAATAGATTATTTCTCCATTTGAAGTAAATTTAAAGCGACTATTTTGATTAACTGTGAAATAAAGATCTAACTCATCATTCATTATCTTAAATTATTGCTCTTTAGGAAAGTGTTCAAAAATCTTCATAATTGGATGTTTAAGTTTCTACAATCAACAGCTTCCAAGAAATATCAAATGATCAATATCAATCTCCTAACTGTAATCACATACCATAACTTAATAAAAATCAAAAAGAATTTATAAACTTATTATTGAAAAATTGATTCTTAGAGAAATACTTTAACTAACTATCTTGAATATTGTTGGTGAGTATATTTTTGGTATATATATGATGGTCATATATAGAAAATAATTTTCATACACGTGACTAGAAGTAAAATATTTCTTATTGAATATACTACATACAGGGTGTGTTACATAATGAAAATTGATCTATTTTCGCAAAGCACTGTTCAGTGACAGGTTGTCTGGATTGGTGGGGGTAGGCTCGCTGGAAAGCCTACACACTGCCATTATCTGTATTCATAGAACAGTGGTCGCCTGAGCGGTGTTTGTTATCGAGCCGTTTAAAAAAAGTAATGATTCAGTCATTGGAACTCAGCGGGAGTTCCGTGCATTCTTTCAATTAGGGCGACATGGAGAAGTTCCGATGTGTAGCACAATCATGGGTTACTAACTTTAGAACAATGGCATCTGCATTCAAAATGAAGCTGACATGCCATCCAAAGTCAGATCGAACGCCAGGCAACTAACACTCGATAGAGTGTGTGCTGCTGTGGAAAACAGTCCTTAAAGGAGAAATCAAACTCTAAAAACAACGACTGCTTTGAACATGTCTGACCACTCGATCACACAAATTTTGAGGTTCAATCTTAATTTTCATCCCTACAGATGAATTTGAATTAATCTGTTTAATTTTGTCGATCTAATTGAAAGAATTCATGGATCTGCTGCTGAGCTGCAATGACTGAATCATTATTTTGAAAAACAACTCGAGAACAAACGCAGGTGGCTCAGACGACCACTCTGTAACTAAAGATAATGGTAGGCTTTCCTACTAGCCTACCCCCACCACCCTCGGACGACCTGTTGCTGAATAGTGGGCTGCAGAAAATAGATTGTTTTTTTTCCGTACTCTGTACAAAATTAGCTCTTAAAACCAAGCAACTTTCATTGATTAGAAACTATGAATTTAATCTTAAGATGAAAATTTATACTTAAATATTCAACCGTCTCTTTTACAGTTCTTTTAAGAGATTATTGATAGGTGAACACTTTTAACCTAGAACACAGAATGTAAGTAACAAGATAAAAGAAAGTTTTCGAAGCTTTGAAACAAATACCTAGCTGTTTACAACACTCTTACAATGCCCCTTTGTTTTGAGTTGACTTTTTCTTTCTAAATAAATATTATATCAACCTACTTTTGTTTCAACGTAACAAAACTCAGATTGTTTCCTACTAACATAAGAACTAAAGCTATTTGTTAATCTACAGCCTAATTGGGAGGAACTAATTCAGGGGAATATCACATAATTTACTGGATACTATGTATGATTTTTTCAACTCGACTTTTGAGCCTAAATACAAAGGTTGTATGTAAATTAAGGTCCCCAACCATACAGGTTGTTTTGTCGTCACTTAAACAAAACTAATGAACACCTTTTTGCGACTGTAGCTCATTAGAAACCTTAATTTAGGGTCAAACCTTGAACACAAGCTTTTTTCATCTTTTTTTAGGTTATATTTTGCTGGCTTGACACAGGTTGTTTTGCTGTGACACAATTAGGTTAGTTTTTGTCGTCTGCACTACACATTGGTCAGCACCAGGTGGGTGATTGTTGTGACGTTCAATCGTCATCGTCGTCGTCCACGGGCTTCTCCGAGTCCAACTGTCCCCAGTTGGCGGACAGCTGACATTTGATGACGCTGTTCAACGGAGGAATGTGGCTGCGAGGGAGTAGAAATGCCGATAGGTTGAATAAATCGAGGAATACTTTGTAGCGGTCACTGAAAAAGTGGATGATAAAGTTACTCAAGAAATATTTTGTGTATTTTTAGGTTATTCTAAATATAACCATGGAGAAGTAAGGCATAGGAAACGTGCAATGGTTTACTTAAGTGGTGTCCAGGGCAAAGTCCAACATGGCCCCCTTGCCCTCATGAACAACGCTCACAGTGGAGGAAGACCATGTGTCCTGTGCGATAGAAATTTCCGCACAGTGCTCGCCATTCGGACTCTTACTTGCTCATCACAAGTATTTATCCGGCACAACATACCATAGATGAGAGTGCACGGTCGGCCCCGTAAACAAGTTTCCTCTGTACCTAACTTCTTTGTGGTTTTAGACAAAGATAGGTATTCATTCACTTCCCATTTAACAAAAGCGGAGATAATGAATTGCCATACACAAATATCTTACCTACTAGAACCCAGGCAACAACAATAAATCTAATATTCAAGTTCTTGAAACTGGGATGGGAAAAATATTAAAGGTACTTTGGTATTATCCAGAGACCACTTATTTTAGAGAGATTTTTTTACCGTAGACCAAAAATAACTACATTATTGGAAAGAACATACTTTAATTGACTTACTGTCCAAATTTAACATGATTACGATTAGCGGCCTTTGAGTTCTGCCTCCCAGAAGGCAGCGAAGTTGGTAAGGATTGAGTTGAATGCATTGCCGCCGCTATACTCCGCCAAGTAGGTATACAGCACGCTGCAGAGGTTATGTTAGGTTGGATTATCATAAATATGTTTGTAGGACTTTGCTCGTTTCCTTATGAATCGAAAAATACCAGATGAGCCCGCCAAATATCCCAGATACAGGCGGAGACAGGTAATGCGCGGGCTCCGGTCTACCTTAGCCTACCTGGAGGTGATTTGGCGTGCGAAAGATTGACTCATCTGGTATCGTTTTATTCATAACAAAACGAGGAAAGTCCTACAAACATGTTTATGATAACCCAACCTAACATAACCGCCGCAGCGCGCTGTATAAGGGTGGCCTCAGGATAATACTAAAGTACCATATGAAAAAATAACCACCTTTTCCTTCCTGTAGCCACGAATCTATGTACTTTTAAATCTGTCAAAAATTCTGACGTTTAAGAAAATATTTAAGAAAGTAAGGTGATAGGTAAGGTTAAGTAAGTTTTAGAAAGTAAGGTTCCAATCAGAGCTGGTTTAGGATGCATAGGTTCTCTACTGTCTACATATTTACTGATTACCTGAGAGTAGATCGTAGATAATGATAACCGGAAGATCCTCCGGTGCCTAAATGTTGAGAACCGATCATTCGCTGGACCATTAGAACGTGGTTATCTGTAAATTAAACAATTCTCTGAATGTCCGTGGTTCTCAATAGTCAGCATATCCTAATGTAGATAATATAGGTATAATGGTTTTCATTGGATTCGCAGCGAAATATAAAATCTTTTCAAGCCCAAAAATCTTTTTTTTTTAATCTTTTTTTTCCCATAGGTAAGTAAACTATAGTAGTTGTAATCGTAAAATGGTACAGAAATATTAAATATTTAGGTTCCTAGTTTGCTATTATTATCACCTTCTAATTCATATATCTGTGTAAGCCAGACAACTAGCGCAAAAATTGCCTGTGCTCTTAAATGTGGTATAAACTGACATTTACTTGAACAAAATAATACACTTTTAACAGTAGAACATGTAAATCGTCTAATCCCTTGGGTCTATTTTACGTGTTAATGAAGGGGAACATAGCTTACATCTCCACTTAGTGATGAGTGAGTCGATATCCATGAGCAGACTCAGTAATTGATGCGGCTGACTAAACCGAGCCTCTTCTCTGTAGAACATAATCATGATCGCGCCTTGCAGTGCACGGTGTGAGAACCGACGCTCTCCTCGTGCGACCAATGCTGCGTGCGCCGACGCATCCAGCACTGAGTGGAACATCTCCGCTCGCTTCTGTATGTCGGCCAATAGGAACACCTGCTCTGACTCGCACTTGCTCTCCTGTCAAGACAACACGGTTATAACCTATGTTGTATAAGTGTACAGTTTCAGAATTTCGAAGCTACTTGGTAGCAAATTTAAGTAACAATAATTCATACTATCAGTTTTACTTGGTTAAAAATACTGCATATTCACAAGAAATCGCTAATTAAAATCACCAATCAGTGCAATTAGTAAGGTTCACTTCAACTACGTCCATTTTGATTTTAATACTGGCGACAACTTTAACATGGCGATGGAACGTCTTAAGTGTTCTATCAATAGTCAAAGGTAACACTTAAAAAATAAATAAAATAAAATAGATAAATAAAAGAACTAAAAGTTGCCAACAGAAAAAGAGCAGAAGATGAAAGTATTTTTGCTAGCAATAAGCTACTTAGCTCAAGACTCCTCTCAAATTCTTTGGAAATAAGACTCTACAGAAGAATTACTAGATCATTGTGGTTTACGGTTTAGATACCTGGGCAATGAACAAGAAAAAAGGTAGAAGACTTTGTTAAAACTAGGTTCTTAGAAATATATTTGGCTATTCTTGCAAATTTAGTCTGGAAGATATAACAGAATTACAAAATCAGCCACCTAAAAATATTCAGATGTGGGAGGAAGAAAAAAGTTGGAGGACACATTGGTTTGGGCTTGTTTTTACGAAAGAAGAGAGTTTTATGGTAAAAAACATAATGCAATTTTTATCAGAAGAAAGAAGATGACTCAATAGTAAAAACATGTGGCAGAAATATGTTCCTGAAGGCTGTAAGGTCTGACCAGCTGTAGGGCCAAAGAAAAGAGACAGTGATGAACTAGGTCCGAAGGGATATGAAGATGTTGGGGCAAAATGAGGTGGAAGTCAGGTGGAATGGATGTTGATGAGCCGAAGTACTAACTGGAGACCGAGTGACCATTACAGTAACAAAAGCCTTTCAGGGACTGAATGAAAATTGAGAAGCAGCTACACACTACATTTAGATAAATTGTATGCTCTACTGTTACCTAAAGCATTTCATCTCGTTTGTTTACTAACCATTGCCGCAAACTTCTGACCCTCCAGCCATTCTTCCACAGCTCGCTTATACTTGGACCAGAAGTCAAAACCGTTGACCTCCAGACCTGGTGTTCGCTCCAACCACATCTGAATCAGCTGTTCCAGAGATGGCTCCTTCTCTGAGCGCTCGATTGCCTTCATCGCTTCTGCGTCCCGGCCAAACACTCTAGCGTAGTTCTGGTTGAATCTCACACGGTTCTCCTGTAGAAAGAATTTTTATTTTATTTAAACTCGTATTTATGGGAGTTTCAGATTCAAGCACACCTAGCTGTTTCTTAGTACATATTTAATATTATCCATGTTGTTATTTCAAACCGAAATCTTCAAAATGTTATCTACAAAATGCCATTTACAAAAGTATATCCTTCAGTGTCAATAAATTTTTTAAATTATTTCTAGAAATTATAAGTAGCTTAGGTATATTTCATGACTTTGTAAAGCTACTTTCAACCTCATACAAAACCAAAAACATATTAGTTTTGTTAAAATTCAGATCCTATTATTCCAGTTATTTCAATAAGTAAGACTAGAGGCCGACATTTAGGATGCATTATTTCTATCCCTCTTTGGGGCAAACTATTCAACAAAATTAATATTAATAATAGTAGGTTAATACAATATATTTACTCTAATACTTATACATGGGCAATCAGCAATGACCACTGGGAAACCAATGCTTCAAATATTTTTCTGTGATACATGTAATCATATCTAGTTTATTGGTTTTTTTTTGTTCTAATAATTTTTCCGATTTCAATCCTACAATTCCTCACTTTACCGAGTAAGTTTACCGAGACCACACTACAATTATCTGACATGTGAGATGTGACTCCGATGATGTAAGGATTCTTAACCTTGCTAATCGACACCTTTGTGGTTAACCTCCACATTGTTCTAGCATATTTCATAATCATAACGGAACGCTAGCCGCTCTCTGTACAGTCAACCCTACGCTATGTTAGTCAAATTTGTATTAATTTGTTTCTGAAAATTTTCCATGGTAAATTAAGTCACTGAAATAATATATTGTTTAAAAATGTGGTAGTTAAGTCACTTAAAAATATGTATAATTGTGCTAGAAATGTGAAATAGCATATTGTGGAAACAGATGTGAAGATAGTTAATTTACCTTACCAATATTTCGTTCACAAAATTTAGGCGTTTTGAGGGGAAGCGATTCCATCCTCTACATCTCACTCTGACTTTGAAACAACAGCTGACAACTGATCAGCTGATATATACAATTAAACAGGAAAACAAATGTGTCAGACCATTTAAAGCATCAGGATCAGATGTTTATAGATAGCCTTTGAAGGGGAAATTAAACTAAATGAAAGTGCACCTAGTTTAAAAAAAAATACTATTTTCTAACACTGAGAACACAAGTGATGTAAGTGAAATCTTTTTATAGCCATGGCTTTACCTATTGTTATTCCAAGTTTGTAAAAACTATGTGTGTATCGGTTTGATTCCTAGTTTGTATGTACACTGTGTGTTTATCTGTTCATTCCCAGTTTTTACAAACTGTGTATGTATCTGTTTGATTCCAATTTTGTATAAACTATGTGTGTATCTGTTTCATTCCCAGTTTGTATAAACAATGTGTGTATCTAATCATTCCCAATTTGTATAAACTATGTGTGTATCTGTTTCATTCCCAGTTTGTATAAACTATGTGTGTATCTGTTTGATTCCCAGTTTGTATAAACTATGTGTGTATCTGTTTCATTCTCAGTTTGTATAGACTATGTGCGTATCTGTTTGATTCCCATTTTGTATAAACTATGTGTGTATCTGTTTGATTCCCAGTTTGTATAAACTATGTGTACCTGTTTGATTCCCAGTTGTTATAAACTAATCTGTTTGATTCCCAGTTTGTATAAACGATGTGTCTATCTGTTCATTCCCAGTTTTTACAAAGTGTGTTTATCTGTTTTATTCCCACCAAGTATAAACTATGTGTACCTGCTTTATTCCCAGTTTGTTCTCGATGAGTCGGAACTGAACGCTCTGGAAACCCGAGGCAGGAGAGAGATAATTCCGGAACTCCATGAAGTCCAACGGAGTCATCGTCTCTAAGATCATCACCTGGTCTACAAGAAGCTGGAAGTCGGAAAAAATATTAACAATATCGTAGTTTTATAACAAACGTTTTGAAAGAATCTCCCAAATAAAGCACATTAAAACTGGTTGTGAAAAATATATTTCCCGAAGATCTAAAAATTTGACTGGTAAATAAGGATACATATAACTGTCTAGTTTAACCTCTCTGTGTAATTTGTGTTTAGATTAATAAAATTGTTCCTTTACATTTTTTATCTATGATACAGTACTTAATGATCTGAACAAAACTAGTGAACAGAGCAATTGCTTAGTCCAAAAAACAATTATATAAGCAACAAATAATTTCTACTTATTTCCTACAAGTACAATTTTTATTGGATTTACCAATTTCAATAATGTCACAATAATTTGTAATTTCTAAACCAACATTACTTACTCATTCATAATACATGTTGTTTTATCAACCAACATAGGCTATATCAGAGCAGTACCACATAAGGTTACTACAAAAGAAGCCTTTCATACGTTGTCAGAGTTTGCGACAAATGTACTTATCTTCATCTGTCTCTTTTCACACTCACTTACCTTCAATATAAGTACGATCCTGTTCAATCTTCTCAAGATCTCGACCGTTTGTGACTCGTCTAGTCCCTGAAAAATTTATTCATTTATTTCCAACAGGAAATTATTATAGTCACCTCTTAATTTTACAAAAACAGTTTGTTCTGAATCCATATATGTTGTCTGAAAGAATAGGCATTAAAATGTTTAAATTCAGGCTGTTAATATGATTGTTTAATGCCTGATTTCTTAGTACAACAAAAATTGTATAGTTATGTCATTAGAAATAAAACTAACTTTGGGTAAAATCTTTGTCTGTAAAAATTGTGCCTTTGTCAACACCGACCAAAGTGGATCAGGGATCTTTCAGGGTTTTTGGTAATTTAATATCAAAAATAATACACAAAATTTGATGTATTTTAAATAGTTATATAAAATAAATAGGAGAAACGAAAATACACAACTTAACATAAATCAATTTTTTTTTACACACACATTAAACACTACGATAAAACCAAACATTTAATTAATTAAAGTAATTTCAGCAAATGATTGTTTTATTTACCTGATTGTTACTGAACAACGTCCGGACAGAATCCAACTCAAATATTATCTGTTTAAACCACAACTCGTAAGCTGAAACAATTAAAAGTTTTATTGTAAATATCTGCTCTAAGCTGGGTTTTTCTAGTCTGCGGAGTCCACTCTGCTCTTCTTTGGTAATTTAATCGTAATTTTTTCTTAGAAGCGAATCGGACCGCCGCTAAGGACGAGCAGAAATTGCTTCTCGCACTCCGCAAAGCTTCCACGCCTAGGAAACCCAGCTTAACTTCATCAAAATTGTAACGAAAGTGATATGTATTGTATTTTAAGTATTTTTAATCTAATGAATAATTAATGTACAATTTGTGATTTTATCTTGTATTTTTCTATTTTTTCTATTTTTTTTATGATTTATTTAGAGGGGAAAGGTCTATCATAGGGTCTTGGTCCTCCAATAATTATTAGAAATCAGTTTTTGTAACTGGTTTTTGATACAATGTTTGAAAGAAATATATCAAACTGTTCTGTTGGTTTATCAATTTTGTGGAATGTGATACAAGTTAAACATTACTATTCTGTATAACTTTTGAAAAAGAGAATTAACCGTTCCTGAAAGATACTTAAAAAATTTCTATTATAGGTAACATTTTTGCTAGGACAATCTTTTGGAAATTCCTTAACAGTTTTATATTATTTATTTTTGTTGTTTGGTCAATGTTACGTTACAACATACAAATCATTGTTGTTAATAGTCCGTCTGATGCATTCATACGGCTTCTTTCAAACCCAAACTCAAGGTTTCTGAATGATGTCGCTGATAGAATAAAAACCAAACGAGAAATACTAATTCTATTTTCTAGTTTTCACTTCTACCTATTGTATGATATTACAAATTTTCAAACATAAATTTCCACTGTCTAAGTGAGGAACAATTTTTGACTATAAATAAAACAAACGTCCCTTAGGGCTGTGGGAAGATTCTGTAAAGTTATATAATTCTTGGCCCCTCGGTGAGGGGGGTTTGATTCTCAGCTTTGCCCACAAAGCGTTTGGATAACACTCCTCTCTTTCATCTTCTAAAAAAATGTCAAAAGTGTAAAGAAGAAAAAGATGTAGGCTACCTTGATGTGTGATGATAAAAAGATGCTCATCGTGAACGGTGGAATGTTGCGAGCTGAGCATTCTCTGAGCACCCAACATCTTGTCCAGCTGTAGGTACTCCGCGTATAACATGCCATCGTTCTCCCCCAGTGGTGCTCTAACACTGAAACACAACCGAGGTTTCAGAATATCTTATAGTCTGTATGATGGAACCTGTCTCCTGTTCCTTAGTTTACCTGGGACTGGCCCAGGCCTTAAACCATTGGCCGGTCCCCAGGTAGACGGATGGGCAGGAGGCGTCATACAGACTACCGTGAAAAAGGTTTTTTCTAGGATTTTCCTGAATTTGAAAATGGCTCTGACATAAAAATCTCAAAAAGCTTTATTGGCTAACAGTCAAAATAATGTCACTGTAACCTAGAACGGGGGTTCTCAAACTTCATCTACTCAAGGACCCCCATAGTTAATTACGTATGCAATGCGGACCCCCTACAATTAACTTACCCCCACCCCCTATTAACCACCCCCCCCCAATGACCCCTTAATTTTTATTTTAAATTGATCATTTCAAAAGATTACTTATTTATATTAGGCTAAGGAATAGGCTAAACAAATAAATAACCAGCAAACAAACAACCAAACCAACAAACCAAAACTGTTATTTTCACACTTTTGTTGTCAGTGATTAAAAAATAACTTTGATTAAAATGTTTTACACACACCCTCAAAAATTACTTGCAGACCCCTAGGGGTCCGTGGACCACACATTGAGAAACTCTGACCTAGAGCGTTACATAAGAAGGTTTGAGATGGGAAAATATGTCCTACTATCAGTGACTGAAACATTCCAAATTTTTTTTAAATTTTCCTTCTCTCTAGGGTCAAGATGAATGTCCCCATTCTGAATCGTATAATAAGGGGATAGCAGCTAGCTTAGTTTGATTTGTCTGCTGTGTGCTATCCTACCAATGTACATATTAGGTAGGCTAGCTGTTATTGCCTCAATGCTACAATAGTTCAAAATTCTGGCTAAGAGCCTTTTCTTGAATAAACCAAACATCCCCAAAAAATCAAAAATTGTCTGTTGATGGTTTTATTTCCCTCTTGAGTATGTAGAATTGAACTCATTTTACTATTTTCTTCCTCTTCAAAATTTGTTGTCTGCTAAAACTGAAGAACTGCCCAACATAAAACCAGACAAACTCCCTTAGCTCAGTACTAAACACTAAACAGCCTTTGGAAGACACAATAAGTTTTTACTTATGAGAGGATATTTTTATTTACAGTTGTTGACGTTTTGTTGAATGTTGAGTGTAAAGAACAGTATTAGCCAAGTGAATCAATGATAGCCAAGACAGATAGTTCAAAGGCTTCATGTCGGAGCTGACATTTGAGACTTTGACATACTTTACTCCCTCTCACTATTGATTGACGAAGCGATTTAAGCTCAAACCTGCTACCAATGATGGGGAGAGGCTTTGGGGTTGAACAAAATTATTTTTAGCTTTATTTTAAAATATTCAAAATCTATCACATAAGCTATTTTATTGATGACAAATTTCCCTAAGTACCTATAGATTTTATATTTACCTACGTTGGTTATTTGGTACCCCGATTGATGAGAAAATCTCCACAAAGTCCAAAAATAGGACTCGGAAATTGTTTTTGAAGAAGTGATCCTGTCACCTGTCACTGTTGGTTGACATTTCGAAAGAGAGGTTATCTTGCATATCGTTTATAGTTTAAGGTTAAAAAAATATTAACGCAGTACACACCAAAATGTGAAACGTTAGATAATCTTCTACATCTTGATGGTACGGTAACTAATTTAAAATAATAATATATGCACATTTTCTATTCTAACTTGGATTTTATTTAACTTTGAGAAAGTAAAATTGCATTGTTTGAGCAACTTAAGCAGAACAGACGACGGAATACGGAACCCCCGGAAGTCAATGCAACAAGATAACAAGAAAACACGAAACAGCACTGCTTAAAACTACAAGCTTTAACGGCAGGCTTATAATATGTTTCATATAACCTACATAACATAGAATATAGGAGTATAGCATGATGAGTATGAAATTTTCACAAAACTATTATAAGTTAAATTGCTTTATGAATATCGTTTTATTTGAAGTGAAGGTATATTAAAGCAGTTTTGTAGATTTAAAGTTTATTTGTTATTGTAGGTAATAGTTAAAAAAAAACAATTTTTTTTCAAATAATTTAGTTTATTCAAAAAGGCGATGGTAAAGACTTCTTTGAGCTAGAATAGTTGCGTACTAGGGGTCTCAACACCGGGGCTTCAATCCAATCCTGGGATTTCGGGGTTTGTTTAAGCCGATATCATTTTATGGATTCAACTTTTTAGCCATTTAAATGAAAATGAAGTGCTCTTGTTGACTCCTCTAATGTTTTAAACTTGCCTTACTAGTGTTACACTGCGCAATACTGGTATTTCTAAGTAAAAAAATGTTCGTGCCAAAATTTAAACTCAAAATTACTACTTAATTAGCATAGTGCGTTTTATTAAATTTAAGGAAAGCAATAAAAAAAATACGTCTCACAGTTGAGACGCATGCATTCACTTATTGAGTTTAGTGATTAGTGAAGTGTTCAATTAAAATATATCATACTTTACCATCGTATTCATCGTCCTATAAGTAAACAGTATAAGCATTTCTAGTGATATTGGAGGTATTTTTATTCACTTTCCGAAAGTAAAACTCTTCAAATTCACAGAATGGTAAATATAATATAGGTTTTTAATCCCGTTTGTCTCCAAATTAAAAACCACCAACCTCGGGATTTCTAGGTATCAAAAACCATCCGGGATTCAGGATCCCGGGATTGAGACCCCTAAACTCAATATTACCTTCTGTGCTAAAAAAAAAAAAAAAAACGCAATCCTAGATTTAAAATGGTGTGAAGATTCGATATTTATTTGTATATTACTATTTACATAAATGCGAATATAATCATTGGTTTGTAATAATACATTTTGTCGTTCAATTTCGTTGACTCAATATAGAATCTCAATCTCCTTGAAGAAAATATGTAAACGAACAAACACTTTTGAAGTAAACCGCAGCACTGGCACTGAATGATTTTGAAATGGCAGAAAATACAGAATTAATAGGACAGGTATATTTTTTATTTGTTTTTTTATATTTTTTACCATTGGGGAAATATTATTTGATAAAGTTAACTGCAATTTTAAAATACTTGACATATCCAATAACGTGCATTTTTTTAGAATGAGCTATTGCAAAAGTTCAAATGTTATACAAGTTCAATATACAGTACTAGGTGAAACCCGTCGAAATCGACGGTTATTTTCAAGGATTACGCTAATTCATCTAACTGCGATAAATTGAGTGAAATTGTACATATTTTGAGCATTTAGCATTGTTTAAAGATTAATAAGTGTAAAAACAATAATGATAGTTACCAAATATGGTTGATCATTCAATGAATAAAATATCTCCCATACTGTACGTCATCGGAGTTATTAGTATATTATCTGGTATCTCATCGTTTGGATTAAACTTTAAATAGCATTAAAATCGTATTGGTGGATCTTTTGTAGTTAAACACTTCCGTGATTTCATCAGTGTAATGCAGATTAATCTATGATTTTATTTGAAAAACATATCTGTTTGTTGGGAAGACACGTTCTAACTTCAAAGGAAGATATCCATTACAGTGTAAGTTTGATTTTTCCTTCGCCACGTCGCGTCAGTTCATATCGTACTTCTGTGCTAATGAATAACCATCTATCACAGTTTTGAGAAATTTGTTGTGGGGTTACTGTTAAAGCTGGAATTCCTTGACATGGGGGATGTCAGTTAGTTGTCTCAGCCATATCAATTACATAAAGTTGTCAATATAATCTCTCTACGGAATGTGAGGTGTAGTGGAATATACTTGAAGTGAAGTTGGCTTTTATTCTTAAACTGTTAGGAGCCTCCTCATTTATATGCGGCTTCATTGACAACAAATAATGCAAATGACATAGCAATGGGACATTTCCAAAAAGCAAAAATACTGTAAATTTGCTGTTACGTAAATATTGACGTTTACATGCATTGTTAATCAACGTATCTTATAAAGGATGATGTGATCTAGTTTAAAAGGAATATGACCTTTCTGTCATGACAGTAGCTGCTTAAATATTATTTACTCATTGGGCCATATTTACAGCCAAAATGCTGTGTTATTTTCAATAACATATGGGTAAGTTACATAGATTTTTTTGCTGCTGATCAGTGCACTTTAAGAATATATATTTTGAGATAAATTAAATGGTTTTTGTTGCAGAGTAGCGCTAGTAAACATGCACAACCCTTTTCGTTAGTCTAATAACATTCAAAGGCTCTCTAAGAATTCAAGTTCTTATTTGTATAGGTACATATCTATATTATGTTTTCACTAAGCTGAATGAATACATCGAAGTAACCTCTCTGAAAAGTCTGCAGTATATTGCAGTTTGCCAGCTTAATGACCTTATTTATCATGCAAATATTTCTACATAAATATTGTAAAATGTTTTATCCAGTTGCTGTAAACTACTATTTAACAAAGTATGGACACGGATCAAACAGGCACCGTGCCCTTCTGCACTTGTAGGCTATTATTTTGTATTGTATTACACAATTTAATATTTTTTCCAATTATTGAAAACATGTATGAAAATAATCTCATGAACCTATGATGATCTGTCTAGAACAATATGATAAAAATAAAGACAAAAATGGTGAAAAGGGCAGTCACCAACCCGTAAAATAGATATAAGGTCAATAGGAAATAATTTTAAGAGTTACTGTGATAAAAGGATTTTCTACTGATTTCGTCATGGTATATATTGCAAAACATAACATGATACAGAAAAAAATAATTTTAAAATCAGAAAATAACTTTGCAAATGCTTCTTTTGGACAATTCAGTAACTTCCGTGTCTTGTTTAAAATACAATTTACAAATTAACAGCTGTTTCATTAAAAAGTATTATCCACATGGCCAAAATGTAAACAAATCTGTAGAGGGATCTTTAAAGGCTTCTGGGGCAGAGCCCTAAGGGAATTTACTTCGTTTTTCTTTTGATAACCCATCTACAGACCAAGACCTTTCTTTTGACACCCCTACCAAGTTTCTACGCCCAGCCGTTCTCTCAAATTAGTGGAGACAAAGTTTCCAATACAATTTTTAGATTCCCCCATGTTAATCTTATGGGAGAAAATCCAACTTTGATGGAAGATCCTGCCTAAACTAATAAAGATATCAAAAAACGAAAAACACTTTGCAAAACTACAGATCAGGGCAATTCTTTTGACATTTTAATCATCAAAATCGGTCCAAAAATGAGGGAGGAGTTCTGTTCACAAAAATCGGCTTAGCGTATTATATATATAGAATAGATTGCAATTCTATTCTAAATTGCAAGACAAATTTTACTATATGCAGTTTTACATAACAGGCGAAAACAGGTAAATATAAAAAATATGGAACGGTAACCGTAAAATGGAGATTTTTGCAAATATAATGAACCATTTTAGTACAGTATTTTACCGAGATCTATTTCTTACAAATTGAATATGTGGCAAAAGCAAATTAAACGAAATGCTGCATAAGTAAACAGTTAAACAGTAAACAGTAAAATTAAATTTTGTAAACTTTAGTTTATGTTGTGTGCCCCTAGATTTATAAATTTCCTGTTTGTTGAATTCGGAAATCTAATTTCCACTAAGACACAAATCGACTAAAATATTTTTAAAAGCTACTACACCCCGTTTTACGCCCCTAGGCTACACGATTTTGGCGGGTAAAACTGTGACAACATGCAGAACGTACCCTGTTTTGCCGGGGCAGCCGGAGGGCGGATTCATGACGAAGCACTGAAACGGGCGAGAGTCAAATGGGTTCTCCCTGCGATTACGCAACACCGCGACGCCGTCCAGGTTAGGTTACACTCAATACTGGCGTTGTCACGTGCCGCGAGCCGCTACCGGCCAACATGGCGGATCATATTGCCCCGATTGACCACAGCATTTCGTGTTTTACCACACGATTGAGCAAATAACACGTGGTTTACGTAACAAAATCGTCTTCGATCCTAGAAACAAAACTTGTCATGGTCACTAGATCATGTTTAGGCTTTAAAATTCGCAATTAGAATCCCGTTTAAGATTATAACTAAAGCCCCCCATACACTATCCAACATGTTGGTCGGACATGTCGGGATCCAACGTCTTGTCGAACATATTGGACAGTGTATGGGTTCCAACCCGACATGCTCGACGGATATGTCAGGTCGGATGCTCGGTCCGATAGCACGACCCGACTCGAGCCGTCCGCCTGACATGGTGGACCCTGTGTGGGAAACCGTAGTCTACTAGCCACAGTTTCCGTATTTAGCGAGTTGTGCGTGATAACCGTCCCATTTTTCCATAATGTCATTTAATAATAATAAACAGGTCTGGTCAGAATTTATTTAACTCTACAGAGACCAGAAGGCGTTGTGGGATGTCAAAAGTAAACTCTATTGCAACAAACATGCGCGTAGGGGCACGATATCCTGATGGTAAAGTGCAAGGAACTGTATCCAGAGTGTGATTTAAAGTTCGTTAAAAAATATGCTCTATAAATCCCTAAAATCATCGCTAAAAATCCCCCTCAAACAGCTAACAGTCATCTCAAAATCCATCTCAGAACTAATATTTCACCTGACTTGTTGGGTGACATGCTCGACAGTGTGTGGGAAACACCCGACATAAGTCAGGTTGCATGATGGGTCCGTCGTCAGGTCAGGTTGTCAGGTCGGGTGGCATGTTCGATAGTGTATGGGGGGCTTAAGTCCTATTAGACTTCTATGCGACACCCTTCTAGGTGTGATCATCGATCGTTTGGATTATAATGAATAATGCTAACTGAAACAGCTTATGTTAATAACAAAAGCTACACACAGTTCAATTTACTCTATTTATTTTACTTACATTTAATTCATTCTCAGCTCATTTTTGCAACCATAAGTGTGCGTCACTGTATTAAAGAATTGATCATTATTGATTGAAAATGTGTTGGAACAATAACCGCATGAGTTACTCGGTTCGGTTTGAACCAGAAGGAACTACTCATTTGAGTACAATTTGTATAAATAGTTCAATAATGCCTACTCGTTGCTATTCTGGATGTTCTTTAAAGGGTCCGTTGAAGTTAGCAGTTCCAATAAGCAACATAAATATATTTTCCTATTGATCTTAGGAAGAATAATTTTCAGAAGGTTGATACGTCTGGACCTTCTTAAATATGTCGGACGACTCCTCCTTTTTTTCAAAGACACTTCTATATTCAATATCAATCTCATCGTCTCTTTATGAAGTTATAGATACTATTAAAATGTCAATAAAAATATACACTTTGTTGCCTTCCCTGTAGTAAACCTTAATGCTCATTAAACTCAATGTTATTGAAACAGGGAATAAATCTGACAATTTCTAGGCAAAAATTAGTAAAAAGCCAACCATACAAATGGAAATTTACTTATTCTGCAGGTTTGCTGCGGAGGGGATATCTATCACAATTATTATTTGAATGTGTAACAATTTATTGAGAAAACTTAATTTAGATACAGCCATAGTAAAAGTTAAAATTCAAGCATACGCTCTTCCTTGTGGAGGATCTGTGAAATCTGATCATTTACCCGTACAATCGCCCTCTGCAGGCTAGGACCTCGCCTACGATGGTTTCCTCATTCATTTGGCCGGTAAGACGATACGCTACAAGAGGTTGGGTTTTTTGCGGTAAAGGAGTAAAGTGATCCTCTCTGATGATTTAATTTGCCGCATTGACAGTTACATTATCCAGTTGGCTAACAGGAAAATGTGACACAGTTAGCTAACGGTTAATGGCTTTTTAATTTAAACCATCATATATTCACATAAACCAGCTTGTAGTGCGTGAGCTCATTTTAAAAGTCTTAGTTTTAAAACGGGGAGGAATAAAAGGACGCCCGAAAAAGAGATAGGCCTACGTTACGCCTTTAATACTTTTATATAACTTGTCTAAAAATTACATATTACCGGTAGTAATTTTTCACAGTCTAAAATAGAGATAACGTCAATTTGAAGAAACAACCATATTAAAAAAGTGTATAGTACATAAAAACTAAAAACACGCACAGTCAAATCATGGGGATGCTCAGAAACAGCTAAAAAGGTATGATATCCGGTAACAGTAACATTTTATGGGTACCTAGGGTAAACAGCAAAAAATTATGTCTATTCCGAGTGACAGTCAAAATGAGAATAATCTGTGTAAGAAAAAAGACATAGTAGGTGAATTAAATACGATATAGGCAGAGTTTCAAGTTAAGGCATCAGCAGAAAAGAAGTTGTCCAGTAAAAGAGTTCCATGATAGGCAGGGTTTACAGTAGCATATATAATCAGTAACATCCAGGTGAGAAGAATATCTAGTAAAAGTATCAGTAACAATAGTAAGGGCTTTTCAGTAATATCATTGTAATATTACATAATAAGAGGAGAGGGCGTCTCGTTAACGAATCGAGAGGGAAAGTCTTTAAAAATAAGAAATATCTTGAGAAATAGGTCAAACGGCGAAAAGCTTATTTTCAGTAAAAGCAACATCCATTGAGAGGGTCTCTGGTAAGCTATAGAGCGTCATACGAAAATATCGGACAACATGGGAATGTTATAATCTAGTAAAGGTTACAAACCGAAAAGTGGAGGGTGTTAGGAAAAAGTAACACAACAGCCATAAAAGAGGGGTGTCCGATAAAGTAACAGCCGCAATGATGTGTGTCCGATAAAATTAGGCTCTGCAATTGAAAGATTACCGTGTAAAAAATTACTTTGTCCGGAAACCGTTCCCATAGTGGCTGTTTATGGGAACGGTTTCCGCTCAAAGCAACCTCAATAATAGCGAGAGTGTCTTGTAAAAGTAACGGTAAAAACTGGAAGGATTTCCGGAAAAGGTTACTTCCATAATGGGGAGGATGTCCGGTAAAAGAAAAAGCAAAATGTGAAGGATGAAACGTGATGGTAAAGTAACAGCAGCAATGGAGAGGGTTGCCCGTAGAAATAACAGCCATATGGGAAGCTGTCTCAGGGCTAGCTGAAGCTGTCTGTTAAAAGTTACGGCGAAAATAGCTTAGGGACCAATAGGGAGGGTGTCCGATAAAATATACAACCAAAATAGGGACTTGGGGAGGTAGTCTAAAAAAGTAACAACAAAAATGGAAAGCGCTTCCCGTAAAAAGTAAGCTCGATAATGGGCATAACCACAGATAAAACATATGTTTTATCTCTGTCATAGCGTATTCCAGTAAATGTAATAACCGAATGGGTAGGAGTGAGTAATTAAAATAGTAGTTCCCTTAAGGCCTTTTTGCCCCCTATTAAAAAACTGGGGAGAGTGTCTACAAGTAAAAGGGGTCGCCGTCTATGTGTCACCCCGACAACCCATCACCTCGGTATTTTGGGCACAGACGACAACGTGTCACCTCGTAAAAATATAACGATGCCGTCTAGGTGTCACCTCGTCTAGTTGTCACCTCTTCTCTGGAGGTGATTGTTTGTCGTGTGTAGAGACGACTGCCTGTCACCTCGCACGCTTGCGTCAACGTGTCACCCCGACTACCCGTCACCTACTCTAGGCCCAGGTGACGATCTGTCGTTGCCGTTTACGACAAACAGTCACCTCGTACACTCGCGACAACGTGTCACCCCGACTACCTGCCACCCCGCTCCATCTGTTTACGTTTTCTTATAACGCATAATAGGATTTCTCCACTTGGTTTATCGGCGCTACCATGCTTGAAAACAAATAATTGTATATGTTACAATAAATAATAAGCAAATAATAAAATACATTATAAATTATGCATGTTTAATCTTCACTAACTAGATGATACACGCAGGCTCCACCCGGGTAATAAAACTAAAAAATCTAACAAATTAATAAAATAATACTAAAATATAGGTAGTTAGAACCAAATGACATTAGGTTGGTTCTGTATACTGCAACAAGTAGAAGAAAAAAAATATTTGCAATCTAAATGCAGTTAGGACATTTTCCAATGTAGGAGATTTTATAAAAAGTTCAGTGACACTGTTACATAAATTTTAGTTTAACTCCAACATTGCATGCTCTCAGCTTAAATAGAAGTCAGTCATTGTGCCTGAGGAAATAAAAACGACCTTTTGCGATTAACATTTTTCATGTTAGTGCCAAATATAAACTTAGTTCCAAATCATAACAGATGTTACATTTGAGACTAAATTTTTAAGACGCCGTTAGACATTTGACCAATTAATTGAACATACATTGAAATAGCTCATAGTGTATTTGGATAGATTAATAATTATTATCCACTAGGCCTTCTATGGCCACGAGAGAAATTTGTTTCTTGCATTCAAACACAAAAATGAACTAGTTAAATATAAAAAAAAAACTACAAGATATGTCAGAAAAAAAATACGTTTCATGCTAAATTAAAATTAAGTTCCTTTACTTTAGCTTACTACAATCATTAAATTCAAATATATATTTAATTTTTATAATCCATGTAATTCAACAGATTAAAACTATTATTCAATTAAAAATTAAACCTGATATTCCAAAATACCTATAAGCTTTCAAACAGCACTGAAAAAAACGTATCTTACATATTGAACACATAACTCTTGGGAAGTTCAAGAATAGACTTTTAAATGTTAAAGGATGCATTTACCTGACTTAAGGGGGGAGTCTGCACTTAAAATGACAAAAAATTATTTTTTTTCCAATTTTTGAAAATATTTTTTTCTTTTTCTGTATACATTTGTGATTAAAAAAATATATAAAACATGCAATAAAAAGTTTTATTTACCCCCGTAAATATTTTTTAAAGTTAACCTTACACTGAATAATTTTAGCTTCCCACCTTCGCATGAACGCTG